AGTTTATTCGCAAAACAATCTTTATTGAGATTTCGGACGATAACCACTCGAGCGAGATTGCTCGCGCGCGCTCATTGAACGACGACAATTATTAACTAATATTATCACGCTACTGGCGTTTTAGTGTGTAACAAGAATTGTCGGTTGTCAAACATATCGATCACGCGTCGTAAACTCAATGTTACATTTGAGCCACACCGTGACGTTAATGCGTGATCAAAACGAAGAAACAGGGCGTCTGTTTTGACAGAGAGAAAGCAATACATACATATGTGTATATTTAATATACGCCGCCGCGTATGGCGGAGCTCCCGCTCGAAAATTACGAGTTGCGTAACCAAGGGAGATCGTTTATTAGACGTTTCGCTCGCGTTAAATATCACAAGAATGTTGAACAAATAATCGACGCGCAAATAAACCCAGAAATTCTCGCGTCTATATACCACTTATATAGACGCTTGTTTGACTCCGCCCAATAATAGCGCGGCTGAGGATGTGTAAAATCGTCCTATAGTGTTCGTTATCTCGTTTGTCTCATCTTGAACGAACAAGCATATTGCATATTTAAAAAGACTGGAATATTTCAACATTTAAGGGATATAGCTACGCTCTACGCCGGCACTTGACATTTTTCCGACAAGCTGCTTTTTCTTGCTTCTGGCTTCAGACGCAATCCAACGGGTGTTTTAAACTAGAGAGAAATATCTAATATGCAATATATTATTATGTATATTGTTAGTTTTAAGATAATTTATATTTAAAGATAATAATTGTAAAAATAGTTGTTTTACGATTATTTTTGTAAAACAAATATTACACAAATATCACAGGTGGATTCTTAAAGAGAAAAATAATAAACTTGTTTATTTACTGTTATAAGTGTGTATTATATATATATATATATATATATATATTTGACATTGTGTTTACTATTACATTATGTGAGAACCCGCGAGGATTACGATCTCGCGATCCGCGAGCCGAAGCATATAATCCTCGTCGCACAACCGCCAGGTTTTACGCTTCGTAACAATGCTCCGACTTTCTCCGTCACTTTCATTTTCGTTGGTCGGTTGGTCGGCGCTCTCTCTCTCTCTCTCTCTCTCACTCACTTCTCTTTTTCGCCTCTCTTTCATTTGAATTAAGAAATAGTGCGTGCCCCTCCGCCGTGTCCCGGCCTGAGTCCGTGTTTATCGGGTCTTTCAGTCCGTCTGCGGTTGGCATCGACAATTTTAGAAAGGGTCTCTCTTTCCTATTTCTCCTTTGCTCGGTGTGTCTTGTTCTGTTGGTATTTTTGCGTTATCGCACACACCTCACGAGACGTGTGGCACGCGCGCGAGGCACCCTTTTCTCGCTTGCGCCTCGATTTTTTTTTGCAACGTTAAATGGCAACAATAACATAAATGCCATGTGTTTCGTCACTCTCTCTCTCTCTCTCTCTTTCTCTCTTTTGTAAACTTGATATAAGAAATTATTAAATAAATACATAAATAAATATATACATAGAAAAATAAATATATGTGTAGAAATATATACATATAAAAATAAATAAATTATATCTTTTCCAAACAAGCAAATAATTATTTTTCACATAAATAAAATTAAAGAAAAATTTTATCATTGCGTAGCGTAGAGATTAATGAGATTGTGGACAAACAGCAGGACAAAGAGAAAAGATGGAACATTGCGGAGAAAATCAAACACAGTTTGTTGTTTTTTTTTTTTTTTTTTTTAACACGTATATTTCACTTTCGTTGAAAAATAATGCCGTAAATCGTAGGAAATAATAGAATCTGCACAAATCAACTCTCTCGGCGCACCGCTGTTATATTCGTACAGGTATTTACAAAGACTGGAACTTCATCGTCCGAAGAGGGGTTGTATTTTTCTTTTTTTTTTTTTATTTATTTTTTTTTTCTCACTCCTGAAGACGGGAGGAGGCGATACTCGAAGCGGAAACGATCTCGGCTCTCCAACGCCGCCGGATTTTTCCTCCCGCGTGTAGTGGGAGAAGTAATTAGGAAAAAAGAGAATACGTCATTACGTTTGCGTGCGTGCGTGCGTGCGCGCGCGGAAACGAACAGCCTCCATTGTACAGCGATAGCGAAAAAGTGTGCAGTTATAGCCTACCCTGTTCCTCCATTCAAAAAACGTTTATGAAATACGAATACATCATAGAACCCGACGATTTTTCGGTTGTTAAACGCACAACTTTTTTTTTTTTAGATTGCGCCGCAATAAATAGTAGCGAGCGATAGTATTTTTATTTAAATAGCGATATCGAGAGATAATTAGAGCGCTAATGCGTCTGCACGGCAGTGTAGTAGTTACAAATAGAATCGCAAAATCCTTCTTGTCAGACGTTTGCGCGGGTAAAGTCGATAGAAGAATAGGAGAAGGGAACGGGGAGAGGGGAAGGCGGAGTAAAGGGAAACGACGAGTAAAAGACGAGAGTGCGTTAAAAGTTTTCGTGATCGTGGTCAGGAACATGCGACATTTACACATCGAGTACATTTAAAGAGAGTCTTACGTTGGTCTCGCGCCGACAACTAGGAATACACACACGTTTCGCTCGTTTACGCGCTCGCACCTGTTCCGACGACGAAAAAACATATTCAAGTGCGAGAGATTGTAAATACACACGGTCGGTTAAAAAAAAATGAATTAATTATCACGTGCGATCACGGTCTCTTTTGCACAAGTGCATAAAATTGAAATTCTCCGAAGAAACAAGCTAGCAAAATCCAAATTGATCTCAGAATTTGTTCGACGAATAAATTTTAGAACAGTTTGTAGAACTTTGGCAATAAAAAAAAAAAAACCTACTTAACGCTGAAACTTCACCGAATCATATCGACGTATACTATTCTCGTTCGCTGTATTTTAGTTTTTGCTATAAAAAAAAAAATTCAGGTCGATCTAAGATATATCCTGGTATGTGTGTGGCTAAGTGTGTTACTATCTATAGTTCAATTTTATCTTGTGAGATCACAGAGTTTGTGTGTGTGTGTATGTGTGTGTGTGTGTGTGTTGCGCGTTTAATACAGCGCGATAAACGTGTTTTCTTATCCCTCGTCTCGTTTGTATGCCTTACCAGCTTTAGCTGCTTGCGCAATTGTGCTTGCAACAGAAAAGACGGCGAATATAAACGCAAGTGAACTAATACGATTACGCGTAATAAGATTACGTGTAACTTTGGTATGTCGGCGTTATGTGTAACGTTTTTAACGCACAATGTGAGACAGATCACAGGAAGACATTATATCCAGGTTTATAATTTCGATGGTGTATAACCGCTGAGGTGAGCGCTTCTCCGCGTGTGAGAAAGAAAAGTTGCCGCGTTAAATCCAAGATTTGTAGGAATAAAAAAAAAAAAAAAAAAATATGTTAAATATGTTTTTATATTCCTGTCACACACATCTTTTAAATCGAAAAGAAAAACTACTATGCGCAATCTCTGTTATTATTACCTATTAATTATATGCTTTTTTCTTTCAAGTTGCCAAGAGTCAGTCGGTTTCTGACTTCCCTTCGCAATGTCTGTCTGTGATGAAAATGTCACGGCAAAACCTTTCACCGGTATTCGTCGCTGACATCGGTGGATATTTTTACTTTTTACCAAACAGTGCCAAAGTAACACAAAAATTCAATCACATGGAAATGTCAAAGTGCCGACTTGTCTTTTTTTCTTCGATCAATTAAAAGAAACTACTCAACTGTTTAACAGACCGTATAATTCTCTTCACGTCGGTACGAAACAACAAAACAAAACAAAACAAAACAAAAAAATCAATGAAATCCGACGATGGATTCGATGCTGCACATACGAGCGCGGAATTGAAAGGGTCGCGGGAGAGAGGTAAGAATCGAGATAATTTCGCGCGCGCGGGCCCACATTTTCCCAGAGACCTGACATTAAAATCCCCAAGCGATCGGGCGCGATCTCTCGCGTGATTCGCGAGAGCGCCCCGTTGTTGTCGGCGCGAGAGTCACAAAAGGGAATTCGAAATGTAGTTTTTATTTTTATTATTATTATTTTTTTTTTTTTTTTCACGGTGTAGCTCTAATAGGTATCTAACTACGAAGTACGTATATTAGTATTTGGTTTCGACCGCCCATTTACGCAACACAGCGTCGTTTCACCGAAGGTCAGATACAACAATGAGATTCCTTAAGTGTTCCGAGCTTTGCCCCGTTTGCTCTCTACGTGTTCGTTCCGGTCACGATTATTCAACGTTTCGCAATCGCGATTGTTAATGAATAACGATCGAGCGACTTGATCGGGGGACTTGTGCGCGCGCACAAGTCCTTTTTCTGCCCGCGTTCGCTTTGCATATGTATATATGTACGAGAGACATTTTCATTGCGGAAAACTTGCTGCGGTTTGATAAGGCGTTCGACGGCGGCGGCGGCGGCAGCGGCGGCGGCGCTAACTTCACGTTAGTAAAGCGCAATGAATGAAATGCGCCGACCTAATTTAAACGGATTCGCGCGTGTTTACAGTAGTTCGCCTTATGTAATGAGTTTGTGCGCGTATACACAGTGTGTATAATGTATTAGCATTACATAATTTTAATACATATATATATATATATATATAGTTTTCTTTTCAGGAATACACACAAAGACATTTCGCAACGCCGAATATATGTTGAAAGTTATTCCAATTTGAGTTTTTACAGTTTCGTATCTCAACGTTTTCTCTTTCTCTTTTTCGAATACAATTGCAAAATACAATCTTCCGCGTGATTGTTCTAAAACTCTGTTTGCGATTTACGTACTTTTGTTTCGACGTACACGTGATTTATATATATATATATATAATTTGCGCAATAAAAGCGTATTACTTGTGCAATGCACTCTCCTCTCTCTCTCTCTCTCTCTCTCTCTCTCTCTCTCTCTTTTGTGTCTTTCTGTCTTCATACATAATATTTATTTCAATGTAGCTTTTCTCTCTTTCTCTCTCTCTCTCTCTCTCTCTCTTTCTGTCACTCTCTCTTTCTCAATCTGAACGCTTTCTTCTCATTTTATTCTCTCGTTTTTGTGATACGTCGGAGAAAAAACGTAAAAAACTTTTTCATAGAATCGAATGAATAAGCTCTCGCTCTCTGTAAATTACACGATTCGAAGTTTACGCATTAAAACAGCCATCTATTTACAGACGTTAATGAATACTCGCTCAAAGAAGCGACATTTTCACATTCAGTCGCCTGAATCTGCGTTACAACCGCATCAGGAGGATAAAGAATTGCCGTGCCAAAGGCGCTCGCCGAATACCGCTTCTTCGTAGTTCAAAGCAAAGCAAACGAACGCGACTGAGAATCAGAAATGTAGATCTTCGCGCAACTCACACAAATGAATTTAATCAATTAAGTAAAATCCAAACCAAGCCTGTGCAGAAAAGGTCTTTATATTTCTTATTTTTTTGTTTTTTTTTGGGTTTTTTTTTTTTTTTAGGGAGACGTTATACTTTTCTAAAGTATGTTTGTGCTTTGTTTTTTTTTTTCTGTGATTCGTACAATAAATATTTAATTAGGTGATATAAATTCTATTTAAATATTTAACGACCTTTTTACATTGCGCATTGATTTTGCGCACGTCACACTGACGTCAAGTTGCGAACTTTAATTATAGCGCGTTTGCTTGTTTGTTTCTTCGCTAAAACAGAAAGAGACTTCAACTTGTTTTGCTTATCCGCATTATGAAGAATGACTCCTTTCAAAATACTGACATTTTGTGTAAATTGGTTTTGTTTTTCTTTTTCGCTCAAGTACGAGACACAAAAATTCTTTAATGGACGGATATATCCGTGTCGATTTGTTTTTTAAATGCTCGTCGCGAAGTTTTTTTATTCGTCGATTTATTTCGATTCGCGATTAGTCGGTCGAAAACGGAACGCGTTACGTTACCAAATGCAGTGAGTACGTGTGTGTGTGTGTGAGTAAAGGTGTGCGTCGCAAATGGGCAGTGACGTTCAATTCCATGTGAATTTGATTTTATTCTCCCCTCGGACTTTCAATCGATTTGATTACGAACTTAATGGACGTACTTTCGGCGTTTTAGAATAGGCTTTTTCAAATTGCGATAGATTTTTCTTTTTTTTTTTCTTTTTTTTTTGTATTTAATCCTCGCCGATATATCGCGCGTTTATCGGTCCTTCGAGCGGAATCGCGATCACATCACTGTACGGATTTGCTCAGATAAATCCGCCCAGAGCGTCGTGAAAATCTTGCAAATAGGCGAGAAGTTGCGGCATGGTTGGCCGATCCCTGGAGAGTCCGAGCCAACAGGCTTCCATACAGGCGAACAGTTCGTCGGGGCAAGGTCTCGGTTGAGCGAGCCGATATCCGTCCCGAAGACACGCCATCATCTCGAACGGGTCCACCTCCACATACGGCTGTTGACCCAGAGTCGCCAATTCCCATAAGAAAACTCCGAAGGACCACTTGAAAAGAAGAAAACCAAATACCTCGTACTCACGTTATATCTCGCGCACGCGCTCTAGAGACATAGTTTTTTTTAGTTACAAAAATTAGTAATAAAATAAAATAAACTTTTTTAAATGTGAATTGTTTTTCGGTACTGACACAGAAATGTGGTTTCACACACACACAACGAATCTGCGACTCGCCGCTATAACATTTATATATATAACTCGATTATGTGATGAATTTCATTAAATGTATATATTCTGTTATTTATCATAAAAGTCACATGACGGCGGCGCGCGCGACACTTGTCAGCATAAATTCAGATTCGTACCACATCGGTTGCCGTGCTGTACTCGTTGCGCTGGAGAGTCTCCAAGGCCATCCAACGTATAGGTCGGTTCTCATTATCACCGAGACAATGGTAATCCTGAGGGAAGAGATCTCGAGCCAGGGCAGCGTCAGCCAATCTCACACGAAGGCTGCTCGGTTCGATCAGGCAATTTCTGGCGGCGATATCCCTGGAAACGAAATTATCGATTCTGAAACGATCGCGTTGACATTCCGACGATAATTGTGATAGACGAGCACGAGAATGCGCCGCACGAGATACAACGACAGTTGTCTAATGCACGTCGGTTCTACGCTACGGCTTTTGGCGGTTGCATTATGCACCGTTTAGATTTCCTATCTACTTCCGACTGGTTTTGACAAATGTGTATAATTTTGTTTAGAAAAAAATCTACCTAAATTATGAAATATTGTGAAAATAAAAAAACTTCACTATATAAAACTTTACAAAATGTTTATTAAAAAATTTTTTTAAATTTTACTACGCTATTATTAAACAATGAAGATTCGCGATACGAGAATTGTGTAAGTCCGCAAATAATTTTAAAGAACGATATATTTTCAGTAAAGAAACCCACGAGATAATTCGGGCCGACTTACCTGTGCAACAGTCCTCGGCCGTGGAGAAATGCACCAGCCCTGGCAATCTGTGCGCCCACATGCACCAGATCTCTAGTCACCGGGTGATGATTTCCATCGGTAAGGTAGACCTTCAAGTTCAGTTCGCCGGGAGTGCTTGTGTAAGCCAGCAAAGGGCACGAACTGTCCAGACAAGCGGCCGCCAAAGAGGCGATGTTTGTGTGAACCAATCCAGCGAGTTGCGAACCCTCCACCACCAAAAGAGAGGCTTGGTAAGCGGACGCCACTTCTGGAGATAAACACGATTATCCGATCTCAGTGACATCCCATGTAATTGGAACGCTTATGATACGTCGGGATTAATTATTAGTTTTTTTATTTGAATTTTACTTCAAAAAATCTTCCTGTGGACCAGCTATTTTTCGAATAATTAAAACTGTATATTTTATTTGAAGTAAAGTAGACAAAATTGGGCGCGGTATTAAACGAGTTTTTGTGCGCATACATTTATAATTTCACGCAAGAAAACTATTTAGTTCGAGATCGTGAAATGTGAGTGGCCGATGGTAGGTACAACAACTTTCCATTTTATCTTGATCGGGTATCCTCGTTGATTCTCTTTTTTTTCGTGTGCAATCGGCGCGTTTACATTTAAACAGAATAGTTAATTTTAATTGTCTAACAATTTTTCATGATATATTTGTTGAAAAATAAATCACCTGTGACTGTCTTTATGATGACTTCCTGTTCCCGTCCGGCTACCTCCAACGTTCCTTTGTATACGCGACCGAAAGTACCCTCTTGCACGAGAGTACGGCAATACAATGCCGATCTTGATACCGCGAGAGCTCTGGCCTTCTCGCACGGATCTGTCGACTTAAAAAACCAATAACGTTATTTTTTTTTTAACTGATGTGTAAAATTACGAAAAGAGATGATGTAAATATAGAAAAAGTTTCTAATTTCTTCGCGCAATCAACACACACGATATATTCCGTTTGCTTATATTTGGAACGAGAACGAGCAAACTGCGAGATTATTATTTATAAATGGCTGGCAGGTTGACAACTCGATCTCTCCCGCTGTCGTTTAAAAATCTCAATCGCTCGCCGCCTGCATAATTCATAACTCCCGAAAAAAAAAACAGCTCCATCAAGCGGGGATTCATTAAAGAGGCATTTGTCGCGTGTAAGGTGACGCCGACGAGACCTTTGCCGCGGCCGGTTCCTCCGGGGAAACGCGTAGGGAAGAAATCTCCTCCTTTATACCCCTCCGGCGTCGTTATGGCATCGTCGTCGCCCGGCCCTCTTTGTTCGCCGGGGGCGCGGATTTCCATTGGTCCCGACGTAAAACGCGAGAAAGCTACGCGACGTGCGCGCACGCGGGAGGGGTGACTATTCATTAATTTCAATTTTCCGGAGTTTTGCCTTCGGCCCCTGCCGCGTTTCCATTTCGACATACGCACACACACACACACACGCGCGCGCGCGCGCGCGCTCTCTCTCGTCGCACTTCCATGTGTGGACGAGAGCGAAACGCCGAGGGATGGCAGAGGACAGGAAGATATAGGGAATGGAAAAAAAAAGGGAAAGGAAACGACGGAAAAACCAGTTCGAAACACGTCGATGCGACCGCGTCGCGAAATTACCGGACGGTGTTGTATTGGATCCGAGAAAGGGGTATGCGCGCTGCGGCGGTGGTGGTTCGAATTCAAACGGACGTAGTGTGCGGCGCAACTGCGGGGATTGGTCTGTGTGTGTGTGTGTGTGTGTGTGTGTGTGTGTGTGTATGCGAGCGCGGTCTCGGAAATTATTTACGAAATTCCCGGATAGCGCGGGATGCTCGGTGAAAATGCAAACACCGCGGCTAATTCCGCGGCTTATCGAGGTCTGTGATTATTGCAGAGACGAATTGTGTCGGCGCGCCCGGCGAACGTTGTTTTCACGCGAACGATCGGGAGAGCGAGAGCGGGAGGGTCTGAACGAATGCAATTCGTCGATTTCGCTTTTTTCTCGCGGTTATATTTTTTTTCGCCGTTTTGTTCATTCTCTACGTATGCATATATGTATATACACGTATGTATATATATACATATATATATATACATACATATATATATATATATATATACATATATATATATGGATGTTGTTTTTTATTTCCCAATGAAAATGTGACGAACGAGATGGGAATTGCTAGGAAGAGACAATTCCGCGCGCTAAAGGTGCGAATTCGGGAAGGGTGGTATTGCGTTATACAAAGGGCTATAAATATATATACACATATATATATGCAAGTCGCAGATAAATTCAGATTGGAATTAAAATTAAATTTTTTCGGTTATTTTTAAATTCGTTTAATAAACGCGTTTAACAATAAATTCTTTTCGAAGTTGTCGATTTTTTTTTCTGTTATCAAACGCATCGACTCTCGCAACTCGTTCGATATCTATAATTTCTATCGTGCATTCACATGTTACTTGCTAATTGATCTGAAAAAAAAAAAAGAGTAGATATTATGAGAAAAAGAAAAATAATAAGTGGTCGGTATGTGATCGCGAGCGACTGTTCTGAACTTTTTCGTACATCTAGTAATGGATATTACTTCGCTGTTTACATTACGGAATCAGAATCGAAGTATCGAACGGACAGCGCCACAGGCGAGCGATTTTAGCTCATCCAGTACGAAACAGCAATTTGATTTATTTACTGAAAGGCTTTCGTCAAACATCACGTTCGTTCGTTCGCTTGCTCTCGTTCATTCGCTCGACTCTACCCCCGAAGGTGCTCTAAAAGCTTCGTTTTCAGACAACCGCGTCCGACACGACGAGCGCCCAGAGCGACGCGCACTTTTAATTCGACTCCGCCGATTTAATAATGCAGTTTTCCGTCTCGCTCGGTTTTAAAGCGGCAGCTCGGCCATTACGACGACGACGACGACGACGACGACGACGACGACGACGACGAAGCAAAACTTCGCGGCGGTGAGAATTAATTAAATCGAAGAATCAGCTTTTATACGCGTAACGCTCCGCGTAAACGAACCGGCAACTTGATACATCGCGCGCGCGCGAGAAAAGCCAAACGCGCCAACCCACAATGACGCGCGATGTGTCGCTCCGCACTTTTGCAATTTCATTGCGTTGTTGTCTCTCGAGTTATAATTTACACGGGCTTTTTTTAATTCGCACGAAAATTACAACAGTTGTTGTCGCCTCGGGTAAGATTAACAAAAATAAAACCGCTTGACGTTCATCTCGTTTGAAAGTAAAATGCGTGTTTTTCTCATCTCGCGGAAATAACTGAAAAACATTTTCCCGCAAGTTTTTGAATTTAAACGTAAAGTTTAAGAGATTGTTTTATCAATTAAAAGCGCGTGAAGTGTTTTCGTTTCATTCTTCCGGTTTGCATATTATTTGCGGATGTTTACGACGGTTTTGAGAAAGAGAGGGAGAGAGAGAGAGAGAGAGAGAGACATTTTCATTCAGCAAAGAAGCAAAATATTTTCCAGAAGATATCGCGCGTGACCTTCTCGGTTTAAAACTCTTTTACAAAAAGAGCTAAACTTTTTTGATCAAACGGTGATCTCTCTTTCTGAGAGAGTGTAAGTGTTTAGATTAAACGCCGGACGAATAACTCGTTATTACGTCGAGCGAGCGCAAAGAATCGGAAGGAACACCCAGCGGGATACACAAATACACACGGTTGGCCCTCTCGGATCGTGTCGCGCGACAGTGGTGCGTTCAACATTTACGAGGGGCAAAAAAAAAAAAAAAAGGAAAAAAGAGAAGAAAAAAAAGCTATTGGCGTTCGGACGGGTCATGCGGAAAATGCCACAGATAGCCAGGCCATTTCGCCATTTCCATGCGCTCGTCTCCGCCGCGCGGAGGTAACTCACGAAGAGGAAGATATTTCGCAGGAAAAGAAGGAAGAGAGAGAAGAACGTGTGTGTGTTTGTCCTCGTGCCCGAAGATCGTTCCCACGATAGACAGCGCGTCAGGTAATGGCTTCCCCGGCAATGGGATCTCAAGCGTATCGTTTTACAGGTTGGGGGTAAGACGCTATCGTTGGATTACGTCGGAGTCGACTGGTCCGAGAGGACAGAGAGAGAGAGAGAGAGAGAGACTCGAGAGAGCTGGCTTGAGAGAGGGTGAGTTTTCACCGAGGAGAGGTTCACGGTTACAAGGAATCGGTTGGTGTGTACGTACGTACACGCGCGCGCGCGGAAACGTCTGCGTGAATGTGTGTTCACAGGGTTGGTTGCGTTCGAGACGGAGCGTCGCGTCGCGTCGGAGGGTTGAAGCATATACGCGCGTATACCCGGTAAATTGATCCAAGATCAAAGCCGAAACAATCACAGGACCCACTTCCAACCACTCTCTCTCTCTCTGTCTCACTCTCTCTCTCTACTCTGTCTCTTTCTCTCTCCTCCTCCCTGTCGATCTTCGCTCTCTTGTCTCCTTTCCGTACGTCTGAGGAAGGCAAGCGCCCGGCGTCAGCGTCGGCAGCTGCTCCAAGCCGTGTATACGTGTAACTCCCTGCCTGCCGACACACACACTCTCTCTCTCGTGCCTGACAAAGTGCAAGTGGTATTCAGCACCCATTTCTTCTTCCCGAAGGAAATTAATGCAAAACGCTTGTTTCAACGAGAACAAGCCGTCGCCGCGTGCGCTTGCGCGTAAACGCGATCTCATATTTATTCGACATTTTCGCGCCTCGGGTACTCTCTTTGACGGCACATTTTGCAGGAAGATACTTTGGGAGGGGCGATGACGAGTAATAGTGCGTGCTTTAAAACGGTAGTTAAAACGACGCGACGAGCCGTGATACACACGGCAATTGCGTGTGCGGGCGAGCGGGTTATATTGAAATCGACCTCTGCCACTTGCGGCTATTCGCGAATTTCACTTCCAGAGCGTGTATTAACGGCGTTTCATTTACGCGAATTGCTCTTTTATATTCTTACAAAATAATCGTGTTAGCAACACGTTAGCCGATTTATTTGCAACAAAGCGTTTTGGTCTATGCGAAACTTTTTTCACTCGATAAGTGATCGATTGTTTTTTTTTTTTTCTGTGTTTTAATTTCAAAACAATTTCAAAAGAAACGGAGAAGATTTAGCATGGGAGAGAAGTGGCGGGAATCGACGAGTCGTGTTCAAAGAAAACAGGAAAAGTCAAAGCGAAAAAGGTACCACTCGCGCGTGAGTTATTTTTTTTTTTTTTCTTCACGGAAAGAAACGAAGAAGAGGAGGCGGGCGTTTGGAATCGCTGAATAAAGAGCCGAAGGGCTCTGAAAAAGGGTTGGGCGCCAAAGTTGTCCGTGGAAAAGCGGCTCGCTCGGCCGCAAACTCGATAAAGTTGCGAGGCGCGGCACTCGTTGTGTATACGAACAGAGAGAGAGAGAGAGAGGGAGAAAGAAACGAGACGGGACGGGACGGGACGGGACGGGACGGGACGGGACACAAGAGGAGGAGTCGTCTCGCACTGTTTCCGCTTCCGGTCTCTCAGACGCGGAGTTCGCGCGATAGCGAACTGGAAGAAGCGACCGGGAGAAAATCGGATTTCCTGACGCGCGCGATACGAGAGTTTCTCTTGCGTCCGCGTCGTCGATCCTGTGTTTCACGGACTGTTTCGTCGCAATTAGAAAAACCGCCAAGTGCACATGTACACGTTTGCGCTAAAACAAACAAACTGGCGAACACTGTGCGATTCCATTACAAACACAGCGCGAACACGATACCGCAGTTTTAATTCTTAAGCAAAAACAAAAGTGTGTTTTGCAAATCTCAAAAATCCAAGAAAGTCTCTTTTGTATCGCGTAACGATACAACAGAGCGACAACAAGCGCGATAAAAGAAAGGAAAGTGATATGTTACGTTAACGTCACCTTTTGTTCGCGCGTGTATTAAAATATAAAAATTACAATTGGACAAATCAGCGTTTGTCTTTCGTCACTCACCTGGCTGAGATGAGTCACGTGGCTCGCCGCGTAGTAACTCGCACGCGAACCGCACGGCCTCGCGTACAGCGGCTCGAGATCGGCGATGGTGGCGTAACTTCCGGAATTTGCGCTCCCGGGTCGTGGGTCGACTCTGACCAGGACGGAACTTCTGGCCAGGCCGCCGGTGTCCGCCGCGGAGTAGCTGCAGCAGGGCAGAGTTTTCCTGAAAGGGACGAAATGGGATCTCTGCGGCCGGCCGGCAGCGATTGTTACACCTGGCTTTAATTATCGTTACAATAGCGCGCCGTGAGAAAACGGAAGCTTCGAATAATTGTCACGGACAGAGGCGCTATACATACTCTCTCTCTCTCTCTCTCTCTCTCTCTCTCTCTCTCTCTCTCTCTCTCTCTCTCTCTCTTCCCGAGAGACTGAGAGAATTACAC